ATTAATCTGAATAATCCAGTATATGGATAATAATGTATTTTTCCATACTTTAAGCCAAATATAATATAGCCACTGTTTTTCTTCCCTCTGCCCTTCTGTCTGTGACTATATAGTAATTGATTTCTTTCAAATATATGCATGAAGAATTCATACACAAATAGTGTTTCTCAGATAAAGAAAATAAATGTTAAAATATCCATGCTGATATAACTGTGGCAATATATGCTATGGTTTGTGACTGTGAAAACTTCAGGGAGAATACAGATAATTTTTGCCCCATTCACCAATGAAAGGTGTTTCTTGCAGAGTCCTCCTCGCCATCAGACAGCAATTTTTGTTAAAAAGCAGCTAGTGCTGAATGCCTGAGAGACCACTGGCGTTTACAATCTCCTTGCTCATCTAATCCACTTTCTGTGTTTCCAATGTCTGAATCAGTGCTGAGAAATAGAATTGCACATTATATTTTTTTAGTCATGATCAAGGATTTTGAAGTTTATATCAGTGACTAAACTTAATTTCCTGATGCATCACCACAAAGTGATGATATTGAAGAGGGAAGTTAAAATGACCCGATACCCTCCTCTCTCAATATAAGAATAAAGCGAAATAATGGAAATAGAGTACTGCTTCCTTGCTGACTTAGTAGTGGTCTTGTCTTAAATTTAGACAGTGATGTTTTCTAGAGTAATGTTTATTAAGTTTTCTTAATAAAAGAAAAAAGCTCCAGGTTCCCAAGGCGAGGCGGTGGTGAAGCAGTGAAGCACAAGGCTCCCATGAGGGAGCACCCAAGGGGTCTGCTCCTGCCTCCCAGCACCAAACAGGCCCAGCTGCCCAGATTTCACAGTGCTGGGCAAACATGACCATCATGGTTATGTTGCTCTTGAGAGCTCAGATGGCAGAAGACTTGCGTGTCAACAGCAAAACCCTCTCTCTTGCTATGAGCAATGCAGGGGAGCTTCATGCGTTGCTTTCCCTCTTCAATATCTGCAGATATTCTGAGGTCTAAAAGTAAAAAGGAGAATAGGTTTCAGTTATTACACCAAGATATCAACAGCAAAAGACTATTTTCTTTGCAAGGTTGAACCTATGTCTTTATGAAGTAAGAAATCATTGAATTGTTTCTCAGTGGTCTCTTGGTTTGTGGTTCTAATTAATAAATTGTACTTTCTTGCAGCTGTTTCTTCTTCCACTAGATATGTTATTGAATTTTGAAAAAGAGCATTTTGAATTTTACTTTTTTTTTCCAGTACTACTATCATATCTTTTTTCTGTCAGATCAAGGCTTACATGGCTCATTGCATCTGTGCATAGAAAAAATTTGATTTATAATTCCCGTGAAACTTTCTATAGATCAGAACCAGCACTTTTTGAAAATGTATTCTGTAAGGACTTGTTTAGAATAGGTGATTTTCTCTGAAGGGTAACCTTAGCATTGCCCTGGCCTTTATGACTTTGACTTGGAAATTACTATTGCAGAGTTCAAAGGGCATGCTTTCCTCAAAAATATTTTCTTAAAATGCTGTGACAGCCTCAGCAGCTGCTATTTTTGGACCATTTCATTTAAAATTAATCACTTGTAGAATCTTTAGCAAGTACATTTCACAAAGAACATGACGGAGTCTTTTTCATTTGTATATGAATATAGATGTGGTTTTACCTATTTCTTTAAAGAAGATTAAAGTCTGTCTTTTTTTTGGACTTGAGTAAGATCTTGTGAATTTTATTGCCTTTATCAGGATAGGTGTTGGTATTTAAGGAATCTGAGTCTTGGCTTTCAGGTTCTATGTCTAAAAAACCCCTTTTTTCAAATGTTTTCTGCTTTTGCTAGCTTTAAGGTATTATTAAAAATTATTGCTTTGCCTTGTTCATTTTTATTTGCTTTATAAATTGGCATGACTACTGAAGGTTTTTCTGGGATTTCAGTTGGCAGTTTGACTGAAGTCTTGTGCACCTTGCAGATCTAATATCCAACTTACCTTTTTTTGCTGCTTGCTGGAAGTGAGGCAGGGAGACCTGGAGAACTTGAGAATCTGCTTTGACAATGTTATAGCTGGGTCTTTGATATCACACATTAAACAGTATACAGAAACTGAGTATCTGAAACAGCATTTTCTATTTTGGATTGCTGAAATTTTCCTTTTCAGGTGAGTCCAGTGCCAAGGTAGTGGCTTCCATGAAATTTACATCATCTGACTAACTTATCTTTTTGCTAGATTTCTGGTGATAAGACAAAATCAGGCTTGAAGGTTAAAGATTTTTCATTCCATGAGTATTAGTTCTTGTTTTGAAATAATGAAGTTTATAGTCTTGAATCATAATTCCTATAGATGTCAAGTGCCATGTATGAAAACTGTCAAGAATTTACTGAAGTATTATTTTCCAGCAAAACAGTTTTCAGCTGTTTTGCTGCCTTGGTGTAGTGTTTTTTTTTTTTTTTTCTTTCCCTGAGATAAGAAATTAGAGTAATGGTTTTAATGGTTTTGCCTTTAGAAACACTTTGCCTAAGTAATAAACCTTAGAAGAGGGCACAGGAATAATTAAGGGAAACAATATTGTTGATTAGACATTAAAACTAGTAGCTACAAAAACACCCAGCAAGTTCTACAAGTTAATATCTTTATTATTTTAGGACTAGAGTTGGCCCCAAGATCTCCCAAAGAAATATGAAATAATGCATTTCTTACTTGCCATATGACAAATTGCAAGTTTGTTTCGCTTGAATAGCCTTCACTCTAGAAGGAGAGTGTTGATGTTGATATTTATTCATCTGTCATGAAAGTCATACTTCTGAAATCATCAGTGTGTTAGAATGCAGCAGCTGGCTGAAACTCTGTCCAGGCTTTCATATGCCGGGGCAATGGCTTCAGGGTAAAGTGTGAATGCAGCATCAATGAACTTTCATAATCAGAAGCTGCCATTTTCAAGCAAGTTGATTTCCCACTATTATTGATAATAAGCCAAAAGACATTGGAACATATGGAGGTGAAATTTCTGGTGTGCAGGCCATGTATACTCAAATGTGAGTTTTAAAAAGAGGTAAAAAGGAAAAAGTGTTTGAAGGCAAGATGAAAAGAATAGAAAACTTCTTCCCATATGGTACCTGAGAGATTTGAAAGTTAAAAATCAGTTTTCAAAATGTCATTTTGTTTTTCCAATTTTTGTCTGATCTATGAAGATTTAGGAAAATATTTAGGGCTGACTAACTTCTCTAGTCAGCTGACAGAAAAATATAGCTATGCTTGGAACTGCATCATTGACGTTTATGAAGTTTCATCTTATTTCTTTTAACTAAAATTTTTCCTTCAGTGTCAACCTTGTAAATGTCATATATATATATAAAAAGGATTAAAATTTTATTTTAAAAAATAAAATATTTTTGGGGTATGAATATCTGTCTGAAATATTGTGTATCCCTCCAATAGCATGCAAAGGTAAGTTCCATTTCAGGAATACAGCAGTGTAAATACTGTGAGAAAGTCTGCCACTGCAATTTAAAATCTCTCAAGATTTAGGCATTTAACATAGCAATGAAAAATACTTGCTCTGGACATGGTTGTTAAGTCTCTAGAGATTTTTACTGCTATGTAATCAAGTTTGTAATGTGTACACACATGGAAAGCTATGATATAATCAATGAGGCTTTGTAAAATACATGATAAAGCTATTCACTGAATGTAATAAAATAAAAGCTAGAAGGAGAACAAGATTTCCTTTCTTTTCTGAAATGCCATTTAAAATACTGTTTTCATTGCTTAAGAAAAGCAAAGAAAAATATGCAGAATGTAGAATACAGGAAGAAACTGAATCTAAGGAGTGACAGGGGAAATATACTGCACATTCTAATGTTATATATTATAGTGCATTCAAGAGCTTTTATTGCTTTGATTTGGTTTATACTTGTGTAAGTTGTATAGATTTTTATTGTTGTTTTAAATTTAAGGTTTATAAAAGTGGTTTGTTGTTATGCTTGGTGGGGAATGGATGAGCAACTTAAATATTGGTTCTATAAGCAAATATGTGATGTCTCTCTCTATTACATTGCCTGTTTGAACTGGGGTTTTTTTTCATGAAACATGAAGAACATGGATGTAACATCCCTCGGTGTTTCACCCATTTTCCCTCTAAGCCAGTTTGGTTATTTCAAGTTGCTCAAATTATGAATGTGGTTTGGGTTTTTTTTTTTTATTGTCTGCAGCAATGATTCGTAATTTATTTTGCAAATCATATTCACAGTGGGTAAAGTTCAACTGTAGTTCTCTGTCTGAAATACAAGCCTGACTTCAGCTTGTGGCATAAAGTGCAAAGTGTGATAGAAGTGCAGTTGATAGAGGTGCATGCCCAACAGGAGCAGATGGATTAGGAATTAGGAGGTGAGATTGGAAGGATCCTCAGTGTGAAAGGCAGGAAGCAATCTGGTAGAAAAGGTGTTAGGAGGTAAGCAATAGCATGGGACCTTAAAATAAGGCAGGGAATTAAATAGAAAGAAAAAGATATGCAATAAATGAAGGGATAGAGAGCAAGGGAGACTGGAAGGTAAGGAAAGCACTTCAGCACTGAGGGAAAAATGAATTTTGTCAATAGCTTAGCCATGAGGTGGAATTTGATATGCTGGTAGTCCCTGTATAGGTAACCTTGCCTTTACTGGTAAACTAATTTTTAAGCAGGGTTGGGGGGGGTGCACAGGGAGTGGAGAAACAGATTAATAAAGTGTTTTTCTATGTACATTTTGTGGTAGTGTCATTTTTAAAATGCAGACTACTATTGTGCACTTAATGCAATTCTACTTTTTGTCTTAGCCTAAAGTTCTATGCTTCACTGCTAAAACAAAGCTAAAAAAAGAAACTAAACTAAAATAGAATGGCCAGTGGTTTTTTTTCTAGACAGACTGAGCAAAAAATGTAGATCTCTTCTGTGAAGGAACAATATGAACTGCCTCAGGGGCCTGAAAAATAGCAAGAGAAAACATACTAATCTATAAATGCCTTTTCTTTTGCTCCTAGGTTCAGATATTGTTCAATGGTTAACGAAGAACTTATCGATAGAAGACCCAGGTAATTTCTCATGTTTTCTTGTCTTCAAATTCCAGGGTTTTTTTTCAAAGTTATTGGACTTGACTTTGTTTTCTGCTGCAATGAGAATGCCAAGACAAACATTGGACCGGAACAATTTCAATGGTTAAGCACACATAAAATCTTAGATACCTTTGCTAACATAGTGAGGGTTTTGGTTATCCATTTTATTGCAGCAGGTATCAGAAAACAATATGAGAATGATAATGACAGTTCTTTGGTAGAAAATGTGTTTGAGTGCATGAGGAATTTACTCAGTGTTAGACTGAAGAGTTTGTTAAATACAAGTTGTTTTCTTACAGAATTTTTCAATACACAAAAGATGCATAGAACTATTAAAATACATTCTTGTACTGTTACCAAAAGTGAATCTTGAATTTGTACACTTCTATAGCATCTTAAATGGAAAATGAAATGGAAATAGAATCAGTGAAATGAGGAAATGAGGAAGAATAGTTCATTATTGATCATCTGCGTTAGGACATGAAAGTAAGGGCTTGGTTCCAAACTCTGCCTTGGTTTCTTATGTGCCCAGCAGGAAACACAGTTTGGTTATTGTATTTAGCTATTATTTATTTCCTGGACTTACAAGAATCTAGTTACCTGATCAGAACTTTTCCATAAAGGAATTATTTCTAGTAGAAAATGCTGAATTTGAGAAATAAAATATTTTATGGAGGTTCTCATTTTCTTTTGGTGAGAGGAAAAATAATCTTCCTTCTTTAAAAAGGATCAGAAATTATCAAAATTTGCTTTTTCTCCCTTGCTTTCTTTCAGTATTTTTTTTCATTTTTGGGTGTAATTTTTGTCTTTATTTTTAAAATGTGTTTTTCTGTCAAATTAGAACTCAAAGTATGATCATTGCAAAAAGCAAAATCATTTAAAATTGCGACTTGAGCAAGGAAGAACTATCAATACATAATTTGATATTTAGAAGTAGTCAGTTCACAACATATTGACATGTTATGTGAGAGAGATGACTACTTTTTTAGCTAACTTTTAACAGTGTTGTATGCTTGATTCCTGGAGATAATCTGGAGGCTTCAAGTGACCTAAGTGTGATATTGCATTTCTCAGTTGTCAGCTACAAAACACTCACCTATTTGTGTTTATGAGAGTTTGAAAGATTTTTAGGCTACGATTTTTTAGGTTTGTTTGATATGGAAGCTTAACCTTTATTTTTCAAACCAGAGCTGCAGTACTGGAATAGGTTGTCGTTCAGATTACCTGCTTGTTGCAAAATTTGGAATAGAAAAAGCTTCTGCTAAACAGAAAACATGTCTCCTTGGTTCCTTGTGTTCATATCCAATTAAAATTAAACAAACACACAAACTACTAACACATGGAACCAAAACACCACAGTAATTTAAGTGAAGCTGGGTTTTAACCTCTCATATTACATGGATGGAAAAAAATTATCCACAATGACAAAAATGTCTTATGTATTTTGGTCCTAATCCAAAGTCAGCTATCTGGAGCTGGTTAAATTCTGATCTTCAGAAAACAAATCGCCCTAAATGCTTCCTTTGGGTAATGCTCAGAATTGCCAGATGACAGTGAACTTGACAGATGGTGAGCAAGAGATTTTCACATGACAGAACTTCTGAAAATGTTCTGTTTTTTCAAAATCCATAAGTGTCTTTCTTTTCATTTCGGTTCTGGACAAGTCAGTCTAGAACCTTGTGTGGAAAAGGCCTTAATTTCTGCAATCTGTTCTCACTGTAATTTGGATTTCCAGTGTCTTCTGATCACTTTTTACCTGTGTCAGGGTTTAACTTGGTTGTCTTTTAAAACTACCCTACAGGGTCCTGTTACAAATCATTTGTGAACCTATGCAGTTTTGTGATGCAGAAATAAATAATACCTTAGTTGGCACTGAGAATTGTCATCTCTGTCTAAATCTGATATCAGCCACATACCTGGAAGAACAACATAAAGTAGGTTGGAGTGCATATTTTAAGAGTATATTTTACTCTGTTCAGACTCATGCAAGGAAGGCAAGTGAATTGTGATTTAAGGAGTAAATAGAGAGATTCTCAGAAGGGTCCTCAGGTTAGAAGGAACCTCAGAAGATCAGGTGGTCCAGACTTCCATGGAGAGGCAAGCCTGGGTGAGATTACCGAGCTCTCTGTCCTCTCTCATCCTGAACACTGCCACTGACGGGACCTTCAGCACATCCAGTGATTGTTCTCACTGTAAAAAATTTGAATAGATGAAATGTCTCTCCATGCAACTTGTATTCATTGCCCCTTATCCTCTCAGTGTGGCTCCCTGTGAAGAGAATTTCTGTCCTCAAGGCACTGGAAAAATGTGTTGAGGCCCCACCCTGAGCCTTCTGTTCTCCAGGGTGAAAGCATCTAACTCTTACTGTCAACTTGTTCTTTAACAAAACACAACTACTAAGAAGGAAGTGACGCTACCTCACTCTATATAAAAAGGAGTAATATTTTGAAATGCAATTTTCCCCTTTGTTTTGCATAGGGAATACATCTCCAATACCATTTAAGTGAGAATGAAGTAGGCAACAATATGGGGAGTGGGAGAACATAAGGCAGAAGGCCTGACAGCAACATTTGCTTCAGTGTATTAAGAAGTGTAAAGCTTTCACCTGGAAAAAGCAATTCAGTAAAAAGTAGTAACAAGCTGGAATTTATAAACTGCCCGTCAAGAAAACCATGCAGATTTTTAATAAATGGAAAATAATATTCGGTGGAATATTCGAAAGATTTTGGCTTGCTGCAGTAGATCTCCATCAAGAAAATAAACTGGAGATGAAAGGTGGATTCTGCTAATTTGTACCAGATTTGGAGTTATTTCAGTGGAGCAGAGCTTGTGCCCAGAATAGCTGTGCACAATCACTGTGCAGTTGCTGTTACATTGTTTGCTATTCAATATGTAGTTAAAAAATGTTTGTGTTTCAGCCTACAATTCATCTGTAAAATTTTAAGGAACAGAAATTGTCCAAGTTATTTTTAATAGGGAAGTTTTATTCAGGCATAAATATAAGCATGATCTCAACCTGAAACGAAGCAATTAACTGAGTTTACAGAATTGTAAGGGCTTGTGGTTTGGCACTTAGACATGTGTTGTCGAATTGACCATTACAGGGTAAGTGCTGACGCTTCACTGATGTTGCCAATTATTCTTAATGTGGAAAATCTACTCTGTTTTTCTACATTGTGTTTTTCTTTTTTGAAATGATCATTAATGACGTGAAATGCACCAGACTGACCACATCAGATACTGAAGTTCCTTTAATCTGTAGTGGGAAAAACAGAACAAAAAGGGTAAATTATTTAAAGGTATCAGCTCAAATTCCCAAGAGTCGAGTCCTGTACTTGGTTCTTGCACTGATTTCTTCAATGCCCTTTCAGCAAACACTTTATTTCTCTATTCCCTAATATTCAACATCCTAACAGTAAGTGACGCTGTTGTCTCCTAAAGGAGAAGGGACACTATGAGTTTTCCAGTCTTTTCACAAGAAAATGGTGTTATTTACAAACACTCATTTCCAGTCATCCCGTGAATAATTTTCATCTAGATGTCTCAGAAACTGCCTTTAAGTGTAGATAATATATTTAGACATAATCCTCGTGTTCCTTTAAAATACCTTTATTCCTGAGTGTTGCTTATTTAATTTTCTCACAGCTGCAAACCAGCTGAATTTGGCTGGAGGCACTTCTTTATCAAATGGTTGCTGCAGCAGAACCACTGCAGCTGCTCTAGAATGCTCAGCCTCTGCATTCACATGGCTTTGCTCCAGCTCATTTAGACAGCCTGTTGAAGTAGTTTACTATTGCTCTTGGTCATCAGGAATTACTGAAGTCAAAAATATATATTACTAAATCTAAGTTTTAAAATTATGAAAAAAAGACTACCTTGATTTTTACACCCTCCTGTGATTTTCCAGTTCAGTTCTCACCATTTGTACGTAGTTTTATCATGTAACTGGTGTTACCAATCTGTAGCTAGATGCCCACCAGTATCCATGTGAACTGTGGTCACTGAGCCAGTGCAATAACAAGGGAGGGCTCAGTAGCACAATATCTGTTTTTGTTTCTTAGTTTTCCCTCTTTAGTAGTCTCTCTCCAGCAGCTGGTGTACTAATAATGACCTAGAAAATACACAGTACTTGTTTGAAAGAGTTAGAAGAAAAATGTCAAGGCTTTTATTTGAGTTTATGAAAGTTTACTTGAAAAATTGTTCAGTTCTCAGTTTTGCCTTTTCCTCAGTTATATGCAGAAAGGTAGCAGCAAAGAGCAGGAGCCAGACAAGATGTTCTAAACAATTGCCATTTGGGAAAACGTACCAGAGACCTGCAAGCAAAGGGGAAGTACTTCCAGAGATTTCTAAGAGAAAAAAGAGTCTCTTATGAGAAGGAATGAAGAAGAGAATGGAAAGGTCACGTTTATCTTTGCGGTCTTTGCACTAATCAAAACCTGTGGAAGTGGAGCAAGAGTAGAATGCTCCCTTTTTATTATCCTGACTTAAAAAAATAACCAGCCCAAAAGCTGAATAAAAGTAATTTATACTGCCGGCACACATGCTATACCTCTCATACTGGGAACCTAGGAACATCAGACCCTCTCATTTTTCACATGCCTGATAGAAATTCAGGCACTTTTTTTTTCCATAGCAAACCTCACAAACCTTTGTCAATTCCAGTGTAACTAACTTGCCAACTTTCTTCTACTGGGTGAATTTGATCTGAGCTTGTCAGATCTTGTAACATTTCAATGGAATAATACTTTAATCTCAGATGCACAAAAAGAAAGTAGAACAAAATTCTGTTTGAGAATGGAAAATCTCAGAATTTACAGACACTCCTTTATTACCAATAATATTAACATTGTGATGCTCATGCAAAAAATCTATGGGTCAGTTTTCCTATAATTACAAGCAGCATAGGGAATACTTACCTGTGTGGCAATCAGCAGGCTTCTAGCCACTCCTGAGGTTCCAGGAGTGCAATGGTAAATGTT